AKWAWTYTTTTTAAATTTTTTTAGTTTGAAAAATCATTGATAGAATATATTTAATTTTAATTAAAATAAATTTTATCAAAAATCTTTTTTAAATGTAAGTATTTTTTTTGTAAACGTAAGTACTTTTTTGTTATATTTGTTTAATTTTATAGATCTAAATACTTTTTTGTTCAAAAAATGTTTAGGAACTTAATTATTCAAAATATGAATATTCATTGGGTTTTTTCGGATTTTTTTTATTGTTTTATCACACTAACCAGTTGTATAGGTCATAAGAATGTATGTAACAGGTTTTACAAAGTCCAATAAGTTATTTAACATGTTTTGCAATGTCCAAGGACTTATTTGTTCCAAAAAATTATCCAAAAACTTAATTATTCCAAACACTAAAGTCCATTAGGTTTTTTTAAATTTTTTCTTATTAAAAATAGGTCTTTTAAAAGGGAGGGATGTTATCGTTGTATTTTGTTGTGTAATGCTACCCATAAAACATGTTGAAATGTATATAAAAGAACACTTTGATTATAATTCATTAGTATTGAATCCAATTCTAATGTTTTTTGTAATTATATGAAACTAATATTTTATTTTATGTCTACACTAAAAAAATTCATTAGTATTGAATCTAATTCTAAGGTATTTTGTAATTATATGAAACTAATATTTTTATTTTATGTCTACTCTAAAAAAAAATTCCTAAATCTTTTAGGAAGCAATTCATGTCTTTATAACGAATGATCGTGTCAGAGGAGTTTAAGCTAAAAAGTGTAAGAAAGAATCTAGACCCTTGATCACTTTTAATCTCACACATATCCATAAATTACACTTGATACAGGAATAGACTTGGTGCATCTCATTATTGTTGATCCTTAATTAAGATTGATCCAATGATAAACGTCCTTTCTGACTATAACTTTCATTCTCAACAGGTTTCAACCCTATTGTTGATTACCCCTCGTCAGTCACATACCATCTCAATTCTTAGTTCTTACCCCCTTATCTCATTCAGGTACCCCTTATAGAAAAGGGTATAAATAGAATACACATTTTTTAGACCTATCAAAGAGTAACCATCCTTATAGAAGGGGATGTGAATAGATACAACCAAACAAGCTTGTGGTAAAGCAGATGGTTGTTCTGAAATTAATCAGCTCGTATAGCGGGTTGGATATCCAGGTTATTAAAAAAAAAGTAATATCGTGTCATGGATTTTACCTTGAGAAATCAACCAAGTTTGGAGGGTGGATTTTTCCTATTTATATGATTTTTTATTAAAGACTATTATTAACCACCCATTCTAAATCACATAATGATGAAACCTCATATCAACGTACAACCATGGTTGCATAGAGTACAAATGGTCCAAAAAAACACATTCAAAAGCATGTTGATGAAGATGGAGTTTATGCCTAATAATAGAAACCAAATCATGACCCTAAAGAATTCAAACAATATGGGATCTTTTTTGTTCCATCAAATATCAATTTCAAGGACAAACTTCAGTCACCATTTTTGGAATTTCAAGTGTCCATCAGAAAGAAAGAAGAAGAAGCAGTTAAACCCCAACCCCCACAAAACATCTCAAATTTCTCATAGCTTATAAAAAACCATCATTTCTTCTAAGAAATGACAACAAAAACTGAAAGAAAAATGTCAAGACCAATTCTTCAGACAAGTGTTAGCTCATTGTTAACATCCACCAGATATCAAAGGGTCATTGGGTATCTGGGTTACCAGTAGATCCCAAACGGTCAAAGGGTTCAAAAAGTTGTATATCTTAAAAAAAGACATCCAGCAGATCAAGATTAAATGCAAGTACAACCATTTGGGTTTAGGAATTCAGCCTCAAGTTGGTGCCATTTTGGTGGAAGGAATACAGAACAACTTAACTATTCAGCTACTAAAAGAAAACATGAAGATATGCAGAAAAGATAAGAATGAACTCAGATATCCAATTTCATAATACCTTTAGAAAGATTACCTGAAGCTCCACTGGGTGATGATCATAATGCAGATACCGATCATGGGTCATATGAATTAACACAAGATGGAATTAGAGACGACTAAAGATAACAAATGACATACAGCAAACCACTTCATAGCCAAAGAACGTATATTTCTTCATGGATCGTGTAAGAAAACAATTATATCCGAGTTATTTTTCCTGCATTATACTTTCTTGTTTGGTTCCCATTATAACAGCGAAGCAAATAGCATCGTGTTCATGAATTACATACTAAGAATCCTAGAAACCACCCAAAAGTAGGCAAATATGATTGTTGATCCTAAGAGAATTGGCTGAATGAGACTAAGAAACCAAGGATTAACATGAATACCTAAATTACTATCCTCCCAAATGTGATCTTATGTGTTCATGGAGCTATTAACATAAGATAATGATAGTAACGCATGATTAACAACGGAGAAATCCAAAGAAGCTTTCAACTTTATTTATTTTTTATTGTTACAACCAAAAACAGTGGAAAGAGGAACTTATATACCAAAACATGACTATAAGAAGCAAAAATTAGTTGAAAACCTAAAGCTTAATTCAAGATCTAGTCAGGGGATTTGAACATTTTGAAATCAAACCCCATTTTGCAGAAATCAGAAGGCAAGCATTCCAATTATTGATCATCATACTTCGCCATTGTTGTCAGCAGCAACCTCAGGCGAATCTCCACTGCTACCTCTGCAAGAATTCAACATCAATTAAGAAGATGATAAGAAACTTGAGTTTAGAGCAAAATGATGAATCAATTACATAACCAGTATGTTGATCGAATGATTACCTTTCCGGTTTCGATTTCATCGGGAACTCTGTACAGATCGGCGGTTATTTCCGTCAACCACAATCCGGGGAACAAGGTCTGGATAGAAGAAATCAATGCAACAGTTATTATCGTGAATTTTATGGATTTATAGTGTGAAATAAGTGTTGAAAGTTAAATTGATTACGAAATTTGACTTACATCCAATTGTTTCTGAATAATCCTTGGTCGTTTCTTCGGCTTACGTGGAAGTCGCCGGCCGGCCATAGCCGTGAAATCATCCTCCAGCTCACGGCGAGAAAGTGTAATGGAAAATTTCGGTCTCTCTCTCTTCTCGCCACTGGTAGTTGCGGTGGCGCCACCACCGACAGGTCGAGATTTCGGTGATCTGCATTCGTTTCTCACCGGAGAAACATTAGGTTTCACAATATCACCATTGCCGTTGACTCCATTCGAAGAGGAAGGAGCTTTGCACGCAGCTCGTCTAGTCCTCAAATTCCACGGCCTCTCCGCCGGAGAAGTAGACGTCGTTGCAGTCGTTGTCGCCGGTGCCGGCGGCGGAACGACAAAACTTTCTCTCAGAATCGCATCCTTCATCTTACCAACCTCCGTCTGGAAATCGAACATCAGTTTCTCTCTAGTCGCCTCGATCTCCCCGTCTCCGGCTCGCGCCTTCAATTTCTCCGACGAAGGACACTTATAATAACTCTCCACCTTCCGATCATCACTTGATCTATACCTTCTCTCTAACTCCATCTCCCTCCGCCGTGTTCCAATCACGGAACCCCCTCCCCTGCCGCCGCCACTCTCCGACGATTGTTTCCGATCCATGGCCGACACCTCACCTTTGGAATCCACCTTCATGCATCGAAGAAGCCTCTGATTCCCCCACTTCAAGCACGGCAAATCAAAATTGTGCAACGGTTTCAATCTCTCCATCTCTTCCTCCTCCTCCTCCACCGCTTCTCTTTCTCCGCCGCCTCTTCTCTTGCCGGAAAGTACCATCAAAACCTCTTTCAATCTCCCTGCTTCCCCTTTAACCAAATTTTGTGACAGATTATCACGAGGGTTTTCCCCTTCTCCTCCTCCTTCTCTTGCGTGTATGTGAAATCGCCGCGAAACGTTCATATATGAGGAGGAGTCAAGACGGGGTGGAGGGTGCGATTTAACGTTCGAGGTGGCAGGTTCCAGTGCTAACGTGCGCATTATGAGTTTTGTGCGCATTTTTGGTGTGAGGTGAAATGAGAGGCGACTGAATTTCAAATCAGTGCCTTCATTACAGCCGTTGATCTTGATATAGTATTTTCTTCCAGCCGTTGGATTTTATTTTTATTTTAATAAATTTTTATGCAAGGATCCCGTTATATTTATTCTTTATTAATAAGATTTAATTGCCGAAAGATCCCTCTACTCTGTAGTTATCACAATTTAACCCTTTAAAGTTTTCATCTGGAAAGCCGAATTCTATTTTGAAACTATATATATAAAGTTCGAAGTAAATATAATTCGTATTTGTTTTTTTCAAAAAATAAAAATATATAATTATGGGAATTATAAATAAATATGAATATAATAATTTTAATGATATTTAATTTTACAACACTGTGTATATTATCAAATAATCTTTTTTATTCCGACTAAATATTAAATTTAACTATTTTAATTTTAATTATAATTTTATAAATTTAGCAAAAAATACAAAACGTAAGACTCTCATATTTGAATATGGAAATGACTTTTGCCTTTTTCTTTTTTGGGGGCAAAAGAAATAAACACACATTACTATGCAATTTTCAACATATGCTTTTTTTTAATCATTTTGATATATGTTGAATAAGACCAATAATCAGATATAACCTAGTACCAAATATTATGAACTCAGTTTACTTAGTCGTTGAATAAGTTAAAAAATGTTTCATCATATTTTTGTGTCATTGAAGACGGTTTTTGTGTAGGGTCAATCGAGTTTGTGGTAGTCAACTTTTGGCCCAAACATTTTGAACTCGTAAAAATCAATTCAATAAGTTATGATTCATTTTGTTTTACATGTGTTTGTTCTTGTGAATGTATGAGTGTGTACGTGTATACGTTTTATATATAAATGTATTTTCCACATGTAAAACAATCCTGAATATTTCCTATAGGAAATTATATTTTATTTGATTTTACAAATAAGGATGATTAGATTTTTCTTAATTTTCAATTCGATAATTAAAATCTAAAAATTATTAAGAAAAAATGTTGTAATTTGTGGAAGTTTTATTAGGATGATATGAATCAAATTGATCATCATCTGTTGTCCTAATTAAGTGTAAATAATGGCAATCAGTTTTATTCATATTATCCTTGCTAATATGTTTTACTATGTTCAAGCTTCAGGAACCAAATCAAGATTCTAAATAATGTCAATTGCCAGTATTTACAATTAACTCACACAAACACAGCATCCAACGAAATATTGATATAAAACAAATCAAGGAAACCATTTGAAGGAGGTTCTGTATCAAATTTGCTCATGTACATTTTCAGTAGAAGAATAATAAATGGTATGCTGATATTTTAGAGCATATGTTATACAAGATTTATTGACTGCATCTTGGGTCAACATGAAGGTTTGTACAAAAACTGTTGTATATCATTAGTAAAAGTCATGTGGAACAATAAGCAGTTTGATGATGTGTGTATACAAAATGTCTTGTTTCCTTAAAATTGAGTAATTATCATAAATGTTAATGCATCTCAAAATTATGATTTGTTAGGTGGTATGGAAATCAATATAAGAACATTTACTATGGTATATTGTTAATGTTATGGTAAGACAAAGAGAGACAGAACACATGGAATCCACAAAGAAGCTTCACATAAATCAGTTCTCTATGGATCGTATGAAAACCAGTAGATTCACTTATTCATCAGCAATTTACTCAACCTACTAATAACCGGAGCAAATCTAATCAGGAATCAATAATACAAAGGTATTTGGTTAGAAATAACCTAATAAGCTGTTTAGTTATAAGGCTGCTCTGATCACACTTTATTCTCTTGAGACAGGTTATTGATTGAATTGACAGGTTTCATAAATCAAGTAATGTGAATACAAAGAGAAAGAATTGGTCTATTGAATGGATTGCTTGCATTAAAAATGCTTAATTTACAAGTTTTATAATTAATCTTAAGAGATTTTAATTGAAATGTTTATACATCAAGAGTTATTTGACATGCAAAAAGAGAAACTAATAAAACTAGAGGAACAAATAAAAACAGCTATTTGTCCTTTGAGGTGAAAATTTTGAAAACACTGATAAATAAAATATCAGAATGGTTAAATAAGAAGAAAATGAAGTCATACATTATTACAAGTCAGGTGTAATGCTACAATCGATGGACAAAAACACAATGACTATACACCTAGTGACTACATTTACAACCATGTACAGATAACAAGTGACCAAGATGAGATGAAACAAGAATTATTTATGTAACTGAAAAACACTCATCTAGAGTTGGAAAGCTTGAACTTGAAAGGAAATCAAGACGGTCAAGAGATATGTTGACATGGTCTCTTACAGATAATACACCAAGAGGCAATGCAAAAGACAAACAAGATTTTTCTGACTGTTTTTCAGGGTCCTTGAGATTAGTCGGAGTGCACAAAAACTGACTTGCACACTCATGATTGACAAAAAAGAGGACGGATGAATGTGATATATATGCTCAAATAGGTGTATGCTACATCAAAACCAAGATCCAAATATTCTAGAAAATAATATAAAACAAAAAATAAAATCAACAAAAAAACATATTATATTATTAAGAAAAATACACACACACTAATTAAATCATATATTAGACATATAACTATTTTTTTATTAACCTCGATATCCAACCCGCTATGCGAGCCGACTAATCCCAGGACGACCACCTGCTTTTGCAGATAGTCCGGAGTCACCGCATTTGAACCTCTGTGGCCACAAGAGAATTTTTATTTCTCCTTGGATTTGAACTTGGGACCTCCTGATACTTTTGACCTTTAGAGTCAAACTCAAACCAATCAGACACTATCCTTTTGGTTAAAACATATATTATTCATTAGAATTAATGAAAATATATGTTCAAGTTGCACCAAATCTCAGGAAACATCTAAACTTACAATTCAATCAAAATCTATATCTATATATAATAAAGATGAATATATATACATATATATATTTGCATTTGATATACAAGTGGATCAAAATTAAGATATATTGGTCAAATCAAATTAACATCAATTTTTTATATAGCAAGATTATATGTAGATAATAACACGATATGTTATTTTCATAATCAAATTTGACCAAATATTAAAGAGTTTCATAAAATGGATGTTATATATGATTTATATTTATTTATATAGTATTTTTAATGATACACCTCATACAAGAACTTGATAAGAAGCACCTCTATTTAGAGACATAAATCAATCTGCAGGGAATGCTTGGATAAATGCTTATAATCATTAAATTGCACAGATCCTACAACTAGCTGAGCATTAAACAGCACCAAATTTTATAAAAAAATGCATACCAATGTGAATCAACAACTCAAAAACCATGAAAATCCTACTGAGAATTTTGAAATTGTGAATCTTTGATGAACAATTTCAAACCCTAATTCACAAACAACATTATATGTTAATGATACCTTATAGCCTGAGATTGGAAGCACCACCAATTAAGTATATCTGGTTGATCAATTACATAACGATATGATATTCATCACACCTTTCCATTTTCATTCACTTTGTATCGATCAGGATGAACTTCAGATAACCATAAACCAGGAAATACAGCCTGCAAAATCAATTGGAAAACAATATTTAGAACTTTGAATTAATTTTGATTTGATCGATCAGAATTTATGGATTTGGATGAACAAATAATGCGTACATCTAGTTCATTCTGAATGATTTTAGGCCGCTTCTTAGGTTTTCGTGGTGGTTTCTTCCCCGTCATAGCAATGAAATCCTCCTCGATCTCCTTTCGTGATAGCGCAATAGAAAACCTAACCTTCTCTTCCTTCTTCTCAAGGTTCCTTTTCGGCCTTGTTGATTTCTTCGGATCATCAACCTCTGGATTGATTCCTCCTCTGCCGGCGCGGATCACGTCTGGCGGTGGTGCGTTGTACGTTGATTTTTGCTTAAGTATTGAATTTACAGGCCGAGAGTTAGGCTCAGCTTCGTATGGAGAAGGAGAAACCTTCATCGGCGAATTCTCGTCATCCGAAGTATTGTTTTTCAGAATCGCTTCTTTCAACTTACCTACCTCCGTCTGGAAATCCATTACCAGCTTCTCTCTAGTTACCGAGATCTCATCTCCATCTCCTGATACATCTTTTCTAACTGAACCGATCTCCACCGCCGGCGACGGCGACATTGATGGCAGCTTAAAACGCAACCTCCTCCGCGAATCACGACTTGATCTTCCTCTTCGTGCCCTCTCGAACTCCTCCAATTCGACACGATGGTTTCCAGCAGAAAGGTTCTCGTTATACTCCCCTGAATCTGAAGATTCACCGTCATCAACGGCGGGCATTGCACGAATTGGATTAACGTTCATGCACCTCAAAAATCTCTGTCTCCCCCACGTCAATCCTGGCGGTAAAGTGAAATTATGCAGAGGTTTTGATCTGTCCATCAACCAGAGTTCCAGAATCCAGGGTTTTGATTTCTGCTTCGCAAATTTGCTTGAAGAGGCCACCAACGGGAACAAGGGTTTTTGTTGGTCGCTCTTCTCTGTGTTTGTGTGAGAATCGCCGCGAAACGTTATATACGGAAACCAAATACCAGACGGCGTCGTATCATCATGAAGTTTTGACTTTAGAGCATAAAATTACATATTGCATCCTTCAGTTATGGTATAAATCACTTTTTTTCCTCAGTTAAAAAAATATATACATTTCACTCCTATAGTTGTGATTTATCTCAATTTTTTATTGAATTATATTTATTCTATACCTAATATTAATATAAATCATTTTTAATTTCTTGCGATGTAAAATCACTTTTAATTTATTTTATTTTATTTCTTGTTATGTCTCTTAGCATATAAGATTTTCAGTTTTTGTCATGCTCACCGGTAACGTACGTGACATATGGTAAGCGTTTACCCGGTAAACATTTGATAAACGGTATCTAAGTATCCTTTTGGTCACCAATTGATATAAAACAACCATGATACTCTTGTGAAATTTGGTTACTATATAACTGATCAAACTCCCTGATCCACAGTATCACTGTCGTCAAACAACATTACAATCAACCATCAGTAACTACAACACCGACTTCGTTTACCAACAACAAACACCATCTTCCTTATCGTTTTCCTTACATTGTTAAACCCTAACACCATCTACGTCCATTCGGCACACTTATAATGTACTTACTATGTAATGCAATTCCGTAAAAATACAGAAATGCAGAAGGTTACATGTCACAAGGATAACATCTTGGACGGTTCACGTGTACCCTAAATGTACTTAACACGACCCATTATAATATCTAACTATCCATCTCCTCCAAACCATGGAATTAAATTATAGGCACTAAAAAGCAGGCGAAAGATCGTGTGAGAAAAAAATTTAAGGTAAAAAATGTGAGAAGAAATCTGAACCATTGATCACTTTTTATCTCAAACCACCCATGAATCGCGCTTGATACGGGGGATTGATCCGATGTATATCGGTGCATCTCATCCTAATGTGTATCCATGGGTGAATATCTTTTTTTACGTTTCTCACCTTAACTCCTCTTCTCAACGAAATCCACCCAAAAAGCAAACTCAAATTTTGGTCAAAATTACAAAAGTAGACAAAAAACATTGTATGGACAAAACTACAATTAAAATGAAAATCAACCTAGACCCAGTTAGTATAAGGGAGCGAGAGCGGATTGGAGCTTTGAAACAAAGACAAATCTTCGTTCCTTAGCAAAGTGTTCATTTTTTCATCACCAGGCTTTTTTTATTAACCTGGATATCCAATCCGCTATGCGAGCCGACTTATCCCAGGACGACCACCTGCTTTCCGGGTAGTCCGGAGTCACCGCATTTGAACCTCCGTGGCCACAAGGAAATTTTTATTCCTCCTTACTGCTAAGTTGATCATATGTTATGACTAATCGATATAATAACGTAAAACAAACAAATAATCTATTAAACTTGCTTAATAAAATTGAGTAATACAATAATCATGTACCTTTTCGAAGAAGAATACCACGAATTGATTGAAGATAATCAAACAGAGGCTAGCGAAATGCAATGTCCTAAGACGAAATTTGTCCCAATCATGCTTGGTTCTGGATGTCGTACAGAGAATTCAACTATTCGATTGAATCGAGCCACGACTATTCAATCCCATGAAATTGATGATATGTTCATGAGAAAGCATGAAGCTCAATGCAAACTCCATTGCTTGTGGCTTTTCTTCGTTTTGATAACTAGTGTGGATTTAGGGGCCGTTGACCAAATATTTACCCGGTAAGTGCTTACCAATAAAATTTAACACTATTATTTACTTACGGGGTAAGATTTTAGTCCACCAAAACGACATCGCATGCAACAATTTACCCAGTAAGTGTTTACCGTGGTAAGAGTCGTCGCCATCACTTGCTAGGTAAGACTTTTGGTCCTTGTCTCACTCTTTCTGGGTAAGATTCTTGGTTCTTACCATATTCATTAGATGAAGGTCTTTTCTTTATATTTAGAGGTTAAAAATGTCGGTCTATATATATGTGTGTATTAAGTTTATATTTTATATATATATATATATATATATATATATATATAATAAACTATAAGAATTAATATGTGTATTAAGTTTATATTTAGTTATTCTATTTAAATTGTAAATTATATATAAATATTTTGTTTTTTAATTAAAAATGAAAATTTAGTAAAACCAAACATGTGAAAATTTTGTTAGAGTTGTAGTCGACGAAACGTAAATATATATAAATAAAATATTTGTATAACCATAGAATGTTTAACAAAAAAAAATTCATTAGAAGATGTTATAAAATAAATACAATGTTGACTGTAGTTTTGTGCCAAATAATAAAATAATATAATTTAGAAGTTATTATTATTATTAATTACTTATATATTATGATTATCGTATTTCAATAAAAAAAAGTAAATATATTATTTTATTACTAGGGCAAAATGCATAAAATAATAATTTACTTTCATAAATTTCTTTATTATAACATTGTACTTTCAGTTTTTCTTATTATAGCAATGTACTTTCAAACTATTTTTTATTAGAACATTGTACTTTGAAAAATTTACTCATTATAGCATTACATTTTGATTTAAATTTACCCATTATATCAGGTTTTCATGCCACCTCATTGTCCACATAGGTTGTCCACATGTACTATAGCGATGTGGCTTTCTTATTACAACATTGTACTTTCAAAATTATTTTATTATAACATCTACAATGAATTAAAAAATTCTAAATTATTATTTAATATATCAATAATAATAAAACTAGTAGAAGACAATTTATCTTGCTAATATTTTTTTATAAAATATGTGTTTTTTGAAAAAAGAAAATAAGATTTGTTTCTTTTTTACCAAAAATATTATCTTTTTAAATTTTATATTTATTCAAAAAAATTTACTTGAAGCATAAATAATTTTAAAAATAAATATATTAAATTAATTAGATTTTTTAAAATTATTTATCAATATAACAATATTAAAAAATTATAGAACGCAATTTATTTCATTAACATTTTAAAGAGAACTTTAAAAATTATGTATTTTTTTGAACAATATAAAATAAGAAGTGTTACATCTTTTACAAACAAAAAGTATCTCGAAAATAATGTAACATATTTATTTAAGAAATATATTACTCTATAATATTTAATTTGCATGTAACTTAATAAGAAAAATCAAAAAAATTAAATACTTTTTTAAATCATAGAAATGAAAATGACTAATAATCTATACTATATTATAAAGCATTTGCCTAAAACTCTTAAAAACTCTTAAAAACTCTTAAAACTCTTAAAAACTCTTAAACTCATTCATCCTTATCCGATTTCATCTCATATATGAATTCGTGTGTAACTAACTGCAGATAAATACAATCAAATACAGGATAAACATCTCATTTTAAATCTAAAATATGATTAGTATAATCATTAAATTCTAACAGAATATTTAATTATTATCTTTATAAAATTTATAATTATTATTAAACTTTATAAATCATTTGACAAAACTCTTAAAAACCAATTTTTATGCGTAAAGTACTGTTTATTAATGCATATTACTTAAAACTCAATATTACAAATAAATTGTGCATATGTACAACTTATTAAAGCTCCATATTTGAATTCGTGTAACTAACTACAGATAAACACAATCAAATACATGATAAACATCTCATTTTAAATATAAAAAGTCTAAAATATAATTAGGATAATCATTGAGTTCTAACATAATACTTAATAATTATGTTTATAAGATGTTATATTATTAAACCAAAAATAAATTATTTCATTATTAAACTTAAATTAAATTATTAAAAAAATAATCTATACTATATTATAAAGCATTTAACAAAAACTCTTAAAAACTACTTTTTATGCGTAAAGTACTGTTTATTAATGCATATTACTTAAAAC